TGTAATAGTCAGACAGTAAACCAGCTAAACTCCAGAGCTCAGGTCAGAGCCACAGACCGCCTTCATATTCAATGGTTTTACCGTAAAAAGCGATTGCTTTCACCAAAAAAAAAAAAAGAAAAAAAAAAAAGGAAAAATTAACATTCATTGTGCATCCGTGACATTCTGTGAGTATCCATCTCAGTATGAAGCACCCGAGCACCAGGAGCCGTGTAATCAATATCTATTAGCCCTTCCATCAGAAGAATTAGATTTCACTGTTAGATCAGCCGCTCCCCCGACTTCACGTCAAACACTATAAGTTGACTGGACATGTCATGCACTGATATAGCAGCTAATGAAAGAGATCATGTTGACAAATACAATAAGAGGAAATATGAGCCGCCACTTCTGGAGTCATTCCGCGCCCAGGCCAGTAGGTGTCAGGCTCACACCGGTGAAAAGAAAGCAGACAGAAAACACAGGGTGCCGTAGCTTTCACGTTTTATTCATATTGACAAGATTACATACATAAATGGTGGAATTATGAACTATCAGAAAACCGGACCTCCCCTCCGCCCTCCCCCTTCCCTCCCCCAGAAATAATCTTTGTATTTTCAAACTATAGTTCAAATGAGGAGAAAGAGAAATGCAGCAGTGAGGATGTTACTTTCCATGTTTACTATTTTTCATTTCTTGTACAGAGTCTTCTTTACAAACGAACTTCAGATTCGGGAAAGAAAAAACAGTTTTGGTTTTGTCTCTTTTCACTCGTAGGTGAATGTGATGAACCGAAACAAATCATAATAATAAGTGTAAATACTGTAAACTGTACATTCTATACTTAAGAAATGGCTCAACACCGGTTTTTTTTAAAAGGTTGTATAATGACACGCGGTTCAGTGAAATATCGCGTTTTATCGTTTTGAAGAGTGTGAAGAAGTAAGTGCTCACAATAATGTGCTTCATCCAAAACTTAAAAAGGGAAAACGAGAGTGCTCCGCTGATTCAGGAAGAACCGACGAACCGTAGTTCTCTGACAATATTCGATATTTTTTATTCGATTTTTGATGTCTTTAAAAAACCGTCCTGCAGACTCTGTGGTCTAAACTTTTATCTGGTAAATTCAGATAAGGGCAAATGTGGCCTAAAAAGATGTAGGTGTGGCCCATATTTGTACCACGTATTTTTCTTCTGACAACTGACAATGATCTATGACCAGTTATGGTGAAAATGAACCACCACAAAACAATTTCATCTGGCCCACGTATGGCTTTCAAAGTCACATAAAGTAGATTGTGGGCCAGATCTGGGCCACAAATATTTCTCTGGGACCACATCTGTGACCGAAACTTCCAACTAGAATCTAATTAAATGTGACAACGTAATTTTATCATCTATAATAGGGGTTTGAGACAAGGGGTCTGAAACCCCTGGCCTGTGGGCCATTTCCAGCCCACAACCGCCCCCAAAATTCGGCCGGTAACTAAATTCAATAATGATTTTATTTTATTTTATTTTCTAAAATATCAGTTTGCTTCTTTGTGTATTGGACACCAATAACAACCCAGCAGTAGTGGCCTTCAGATCATTTGAGTCCATGACCCTTGACCCTTGACCCATGAACCATGAATATAAATTATAAGGGAAACTGATCAGTGATATTATTGAAAATAAAAAATAAAAGTGTCAACATTTTTCTTCTGGATTTGCCGTTCAAACCCGCGGAGCACTCCCAGTCTACGATCAAAAACAAACTGATCCCTCAGACCTGGATCACAGAATTTGGTATAGGACGGCAGAGTCCAATTCAAACACGTTGCCTTGTTAAAGTGCTTCACGATTTATGGAGTGGTTTGTTCAGATGAACCGGAGACAGACACGAACAGCACGTGTAAAAAAACTCAATGCAGTCGAATAAGCAACAAAAGCATAAATGATGAGACACGTCGTCAACTTAGAAACACAGGCATACAAGCCATTGCACATTGTCACATGATAAATATGTATATGTATATATTATTGTTGGTCTTTTTTTTCTTTTTCTTTTTCTTTTCAGAGGAGTTCAAGAGCAGACAGCTTTGAATCAGAAAATCCTTGGTTTCAGCTTCGCGGCCTCACATCAACGATCCGTCCTCGGCCTGAACTCCGCATTCACTGATCTCTTTACGTACAGTGAAAGTTCAGTTGGTCGACGACACATCGCTGCGGTCTATGTTTTCTGGAGGAGTTCATTCAAGTGCTAAATTTCTGAGATGTGTGAAGAATGCGTCAGTAATCCTTGGGTGAAGAGTGAACTCTGGAGGTGAACCTTTTTTTCTTCTTTCCTTTTTTTTTTTTTTTGTGGCTGTGTAAATGTGACAACGTCATTTTATCATCTATAATAGGGGTTTGAGACAAGGGGTCTCAAACCCCTGGCCTGTGGGCCATTTCCAGCCCACAACCGCCCCCAAAATTCGGCCGGTAACTAAATTCAATAATGATTTTATTTTATTTTATTTTCTAAAATATCAGTTTGCTTCTTTGTGTATTGGACACCAATAACAACCCAGCAGTAGTGACCTTCAGATCATTTGAGTCCGTGACCCTTGACCCATGAACCATGAATATGCCTTCAGATCATTTGAGTCCATGACCCTTGACCCTTGACCCATGAACCATGAATATAAATTATAAGGGAAACTGATCAGTGATATTATTGAAAATAAAAAATAAAAGTGTCAACATTTTTCTTCTGGATTTGCCGTTCAAACCCGCGGAGCACTCCCAGTCTACGATCAAAAACAAACTGATCCCTCAGACCTGGATCACAGAATTTGGTATAGGACGGCAGAGTCCAATTCAAACACGTTGCCTTGTTAAAGTGCTTCACGATTTATGGAGTGGTTTGTTCAGATGAACCGGAGACAGACACGAACAGCACGTGTAAAAAAACTCAATGCAGTCGAATAAGCAACAAAAGCATAAATGATGAGACACGTCGTCAACTTAGAAACACAGGCATACAAGCCATTGCACATTGTCACATGATAAATATGTATATGTATATATTATTGTTGGTCTTTTTTTTCTTTTTCTTTTTTTTTTCAGAGGAGTTCAAGAGCAGACAGCTTTGAATCAGAAAATCCTTGGTTTCAGCTTCGCGGCCTCACATCAACGATCCGTCCTCGGCCTGAACTCCGCATTCACTGATCTCTTTACGTACAGTGAAAGTTCAGTTGGTCGACGACACATCGCTGCGGTCTATGTTTTCTGGAGGAGTTCATTCAAGTGCTAAATTTCTGAGATGTGTGAAGAATGCGTCAGTAATCCTTGGGTGAAGAGTGAACTCTGGAGGTGAACCTTTTTTTCTTCTTTCCTTTTTTTTTTTTTTTGTGGCTGTGCTGGGATCAGGTGCACATGTGCCAGGTGGTGCCGAGACACTACGGAGGCAGCAGCGGGGGTTTGAAGGTGCACGCTCCGGTGCACTGACGAGGAGTGAGCATCTTGCAGGAGAAATGGTGAAGGGCGTCGTGAGCTTCTGGGGGGGAACAGGTCCACCAGGTGAGGACATGCAGACAAGCACACAAATAACAGCTTCAACAGTCATTCAACACCTCGTCAGCGGTCACATGACCCGGCCTCTTTAAATGGATAGGTTCACATTTTTAGTCTGTCTTCAGGTTGTTACTGTGGAGCAGAGTTTGTAGAAAGGCTGGGATTTTTTGGATTATTGTGAGTCATTTAAACACGTTTCCCAGCCCTCACAGCTCTAGGCTAACATGTTAGCTAACCTTTGACTGTTCTACCTCTCGACTGTAATCGTTTCGGCTTTCTTAAGACAACTGTCGAACGAATGTCGGGCTGGATTTTGTTATATCATTCTGGGCAGATCTACACTGCGCCCAGATCTCTCCTTTTCCATAACTTAATGCTGGCCCATTTCTGGGCCCCGCCCCCTATCCTGGGCCCAGGACAACAAACCCGTTAGTCCACCCCCTATCTGCAGCCCAGGATGTGGGAAACCCATGACCTGGTCTGGCCAAGACATGGTCCACACAAACTACCTTCAAATATGAATTATGAAGGAAAACAATCACCAATCATCAACTATGGGCCACAACAATGTGGGCCACAACAATGTGGGCCACACCAGTTCCACTCAAACCAAAGACATTTTTCTGTATCACTGTTTTGTGGCCCATATGGACTTCATGGAAGTAAAGAAAATGTTTGCATATATACAGTGTAAATACATTTCATATATTAACTAACATGTATATATATTTATATATATATGTCACGTTTGCATATATACAGTATAAATACATTTTATATATTAACCAACATGTATATATATTTATGTATATATGTGTGTGTGTGGAGCGTTTCCAATATTGTTCCAATGGGATCATTATCATAATTGAAGGATAAACAAATGTGAACCTATCCTTTAATGCTGTCTTTTTTTCTTTTCTTTTTTTCCCCCAATATTTACATGTAATGAAATGTCAAATTCCAAAAAAAGTAGCACTTGCATATTTGTCTTTATATAAGCATGTCTTTATGTCTCTCTCTGGACCAGATAAATTTACCTTTCAGCTTCTGCTGTATTGCATAACGAGCCTTTCTCTCTTGGTCCAACTCGCTGCACAAAGTGTCTATCAAAAAAAAAAAAATTAAATAAAAATAAATATAAATAAATGAATACAAACGTAAAGGGAAAAGAAAAAAAGAGAAGGAGCTGCTGTGTAAAATCTGAGTTGAAGGAGTGTAATGTATGCCGTTTGCCCCCATGGTATTTAGAGTGACCCCTCTGTGTACTTGAACCCTGTATTTAAACTAGTGTAACATTAAACCAATCCTTTAAAGGGTGGCATTAGTTGCTGTCTACTGCATGTAACCGATACAGCACTACATAATGGTCTGTCTATTCAATTTTCCAGAGCATGATTTAGGAGAAAATAACCATTGGCTACAAAACAATGAGGTTTCAGGTTCACCTTCTGATATCTCATTATTGAAAATGTACAATTTATTCAACTGTGAAAGGAGGGGAAAAAGGCCGGGGTTTACAGGAAAAAGGCCGGCCCCGGATCATCGACATGTTCAATATGCAAGTGTCACTTTTCATTTCAGTTGTGTTTTCAAACAGACATGTCTGCTTCAGATTGATTGACGCAGCTTGGCCTGTTTTATTAAGTCGGGACGTTTCCTTCTGTTCCCATAAACTCTAAAAAGGCATCGATTTACCTCCACCTGACGGTGAGACATAAAAAAAAAAAAAACAACAACAAAATAAATATCCGTGAAGGCTCTGGGTTAAGGAAGACACCAACCTCGGACAATCTGCAGCTGCTGGACCATCTCCTCTCTGTAGGACAGCTCACGCTTCATCTGATCCTGAAAATTATCTGAAGAGCGAGAAAAAGAAGAAGAAGACGTGAAAACTCTGAGTTAAAAACTCTCTGTTGGAGTTCAAAAATAACTTCATAGTTGAACATAACTGGGATTTGCAGGAGGTAAAAAAAAAAAGAAGCAGTGGATCCCAAAGTGGGGGGCGTGTCCCGTTAGAGGGCATGGAGCTACTGCAGAGGAGGAAATTAATTCTTTTTTTTCTGTCAAATATAGTGGGAAATTGGAATAGATTTTTTAATAATTTTTTTTCTATAAAAAAATCAATTTCATGAATTTGAAAATGAATTTCAAAGTAAATCGTGTTCAAAGCTTCAAGGGGGGGATTTACTGAACACAGTACTGAAGATATTACCAGCCAGATATTACTGTAGTACAAAAAGTGGATTTTTGTCTTCCTCAGTGGATGAGGAAAAAATGTTTTCATATTTTAAAATTTCAAATATTCAGTTATTTCTTAGCAATCAGCGTCACCTACTGGTGTCTGAAAAGGATCCTTTTCCACCTCTTAGTTTTGATCGATACTGTGTGGATCAATCTGACCTTCTTAATAAAACCTCAAACTCCAGATACTGATCCTACTCGCAGGTACTTTGTACTTGAACCTCCTAAATTCCTAATATCAAAAATACTTTAAACCCTATTGTTGTAACTGACAGAGTAAATCCTTGCCCAGATAAGTGGCTCAGACATTAGCATCATTTTGACCTTTGTCGTCTGTCTATTATTTTTCTGTATGCAAATGAATATATTTAATATATTCATATTTATATTTTATATTTTTTATTTCATTATTTAAAAAAAGTCCACCTCTGAATAACTGATACAAAAACCACATATATTGACACTGTTATTTTACTCAAAATGTAAACAGAAATATATATATATATATATAAGTATTTGTATATATGTTGTGTTGGTGACTCAGATGTTCCTGTGTAAGTAATTTTACATCTCTTATTTTACTTGACTTTTTCAAACGGTGGGTCGTGACCCCATTGTGGTTTTGTTAGACTGGACGACACCGATCAAAACAGATAAATCTTTTTTTTAAAACTACATTTACTACTTTTTAAAATATATGTATCATATATTCTCCTTCGTCCTACAACTATAGGAATACATTTTTCACCACTGTGTCAGCCTTGTTGGTGCAGCCAAATATAAAGACACATTACTGAGGTAATTTATTTTCTGGTCTAATAAAAAATAAAATATATTCAAAATGTAATGTCATTTAAAGTTAGCATGTTGGTATTCTTTCTTTGCTAAAGAAATTATTGGATTAAAAATATATATTTATAAATTTATAAAATATATATTAACATACATGTATATTAATATTGAAATATACATTGGCATATATGTATATTAATATATAAATATATATTGATATATATACATATTAAAATAAAATGTATATTAACATATATGTATATTAATATAGAAATATATATTAACTTATATATGCTTATATATATGTGTAATAACACAGAAATATATATTGACATATATAAACATATATATGACGTGTGTACCTTTTAGATGCTGAAATTCTCTCTCCAACTTTTTCCTCAGCTCCACCTGCTCCACCAGCTGCTTCTGCAGCTCCTCTGCAAAAACAACGCAGAGGAAACGTGTCAGCTTTTACCAGAGAACCGTCCTCGGCTGCTGCAGGAGGAGATCGTTATTCACTCGGAAACACTGAACCACAGACACAGTCTGACACCCGCTGAGCCCCGGCATCTCCACCAGGGACCACCACCACAGACACCCACGTCCACCACCAGAAAATCACGAGGCCTTGGTTCTGGATTCGGCTTCGTGTCTGAGTCCAGTGAAAACACACACTCAGGGGCTCGAACCTCCCGGAGCAGCAGCAGCAGCAGCAGCAGCAGCGCCTCCCGCTCCGCTGCTCCTCTCACTCGCTGCCACAGTAATTGCCATGCATTGCCTGGAGCTGGAGACGATAATAATGGAGTCCCAGGGTTTTTCCAAGCGTTGTAAAATAATTAGCTGCCGTGCCTCGGGGTTATGGCTCTGTTCCTTAAAATATTAATAGCCTCTAAACGATTTCCTCTTACAATAATAAGTCAAAACCCCCCACATGTTGTGATTAAGTGGTTTTACAACCAGGGAAGCACAAAGAAAAAAAAAAAACCCAAATCATCCCGGGTGGGCATTTACGCACATGTAAATGGATGTTTTTAAATTTTTAAAATATTCATTAAAAAAATGCTGCAAATGCAATTAAAAAAAATCCAATAAATTCGGTTGTTATATTAAATTTAATGACTAACATTTACATATTTGCTACTTCTTTTAAAGTAGGTGTTATAAATGGTTATTCCACCTTCAGTAAATTACACAGAATATTTTTTTTGAATTATTTCTGATCCAACAGCAGCAGAATTCCCACCTTTCGCCATGTTTTCCAAGTCTCTCTCTCGGACACTGATGTCGATGCGTAAAGCTCCGTCCGCTGCAGAAACAGAAATTAATCAATTATAATTAATTCATAAATACATTAATAATCACAATAATGTAATATTTAATGTTTGTATATTTTTAAAAATAAATAAATTAAAAGTTAAAATAAAAATAAATAAAAATGACCTTGTCTGTCTTTCTGCTCCTGATATACCGCTGTTGCTCTGTGTATCTCAGACACGTGGTCCACATCTAAACATATGAAAATATATATATACATACATAAAGTTGTTTTTTTTTTTCAATACACAAAAACAGCTCTATTTGCATGAAGCGGTTCGATAATTACCGTTGGATCTGCTGCTGAGGCTGCTGGACTGTTTGGACACAAAACAGGACGAGGAGGAGGAGGAGGACAATGATGATGATGACGATGATGAAGAAGACGATGATGATGATGAGGGCTCCTTCTCTCTTTCATGTACGTACACCTGCAAAATGAAGCGCACAGTCCTGTTGAACAACAAGCGACAATTATTTGTTATTTGCCCCACATCTCGTTGTAATTGGGCCTCGGATCTTCAGAGGCCTGTGATTGGTCCTCGATGGAACATTTGCATCGGAAACCTCTAATGGAGGTTAAACAGTTCCTGAAGAGGCAGCAATGAACCAGGACGGAACTGAGGGTTCCTCCAGAACAGTACTGTGAACCACGTTGGACTGACGAATAAATAAAACACACATCGTTTTTAAATCCTTTTTTAAAAAAATAAAAAATAAAACCCACTCCACGTGGGCTGGACTACATTCCACTGCGGTGGTCTCCTCTGTGAACCCACCCCAGTGAGAGATCATTAAAGTTTCATCTAATCTAATCTTACCTCGTGAAGAGGAGAGCCATTACGCAAGTGTCTGTCCTCGTCCGACGACCCGGTGTTCGCCGACTCCTCCGGGGGAGGACTGGAGGAGGCGTCGGGCTGCTCCTGGTTCTCCCCGTCTCCCGCTGAGACCCGGTCCGGGACAGGGGAGTCACGGTGGTCCCGTCCCGGAGAAATCCGTATCAGCTCTTCCTCTTCCTGTCCCCGGTTGGACTCCACATCCACGTCCGGGTCGTCGTCTTCGTCCACCACGCTGTCCCTGTCCGGTGACACGGACCTGTAACTGGAGCTCTCGCTGATAAAGTCCGGGGACAGGTAGCCAGGGCGCACGCCGTAACCGTCCCGGCTGCCGTAGAGTTTGGCGATGGACTCGGCGTCCTTGACCACGGGTCTGAAAGCGGAGATGTAGCTGATTTTTCTGGGCGACGTCTCGTCCCCTGATTTGTCCTCGTCGTTTTTGGTTGTGGAGGAGGACTGGGAGCTGGGGACGCGCTCTGCGCCGTCGTGGTGAGGGTGAGGGTGAGGCAGAGGGTGAGGGTGGTGCTGTTGGTGGGGGGGGGGGGGGGCTTTGGGGGTGTTTGCGCC